CCAGAGTTCTGGGAGTTGAAGTCCACACATCTTAAAGTTGCCGAGGTTGAGAAACACTGCATTCGTATTTGTTTACTACAAATGCAGAACGTGAAAGCAAAGCCAACCCCTTTCTGCATCCTCTGATGCATATGCTGGGTTAATCTGCCCTATCGGTCTATGGAAGAGATCAGAGACAAGGGCTAACAGAAAGTCAGAAATCTTTACCGACAGCCCATCATTCAGCAACCCACCAGGAGATGCTGATTCCTGCCCAAGTTCCATCGCGCACAGCGATTCCCCATCTTTCCGATATAATGAAAATGGCTCAGGAAGGCTGCCTTTTAGGAGACCCCAGGGTGGTATAAAATTCAGCCTGCAATCAGCTGAGAGGGAATTATTCTATTCTCACAATTGCTGGCTTGCAGCTCTAAGGATTTATTTTTATGACAAAGTGGTAGAACTGCGTTAAAAAAGTAATTCCCTGAAATGAGTTCACGTTCTCCTGGAATGTGTATTTGAGTCCCCTGTAACTCACATTCTGGGTTTCAGTAGATAAACTCATAAAGGACCCAAGAAATTTGATCTAACTTCCATTTGTATTGTGTTTCTGTAAAACCTTTATGGGAGATTCACTGAAAGAAATCTACAGCTTCAAAAGGCGAACCGGAAACATGCGTATCCTTGTCACACAGGGTAGGAGAGATTAAGACAGAAATATCGGATTCCTGGGCTATTACAGATATTTTCCAAACCAAATCTCTGCCTGAAATGGCTGCTCACATTTTACAGAAGAAGATATGCTTCGGGACAAACGCAGAAATTGCTGCATTTCTCAACAAGCCAGCATTGACTGCCGATGCCTCGCAATGATTTTAAAAGTCCCTGTTTCTTAAAGAATTTTAATTCAAAAGTGCAAAAAGATAATACGTTTTATTAACTCTGGCCCACAAGGTGAACATTTACTTATATCCTACGTTCTGTATACAGTTTAAGGCAGCCAATGAAAACAACAAGAATATAGTAAACAGTCAAATACTGTACAAGATGGACATCAACAAAGCTGGTGTCTTGCCTTGCCAATTCCTAGCAGACCTCAACTTGGTGCAGATCTAGACTCAGTGCAAAAGGCTCTAATTCCCTATAGATCTTTATAGACCAATGTTTCCAACCTCGGCAACTTTAAGATGTGTGGATTTCAACTCCCAGAATTCCCCAGCCAGCATGTGGGTCTTGGACACCTAATATCTGGTTTGGGATCCACCTTGGAACTTCCTTCACACTGAAGCCTTCTTTATAATGGTGACTGGGTTAAAACTGGTTTCTCCCCACCTCTCCAGCCTTAATCCAACTTCTTCTTATGGTGCTTTCATGTCACTTTAGAAGTTGGTCATGTGTTACTAGCATGGAATTGATGTAGGATAAGAAGTTACCCAGAAACCAACTCATGTATATACTTTTTAAAAAAGTAAAATAGAGTAAACACCTTCTTTTCCCCCTCTGTGTATACCTTTGGCACAATAGCATGTGATTTAATATCCTAGGATGCTCTGTGTTGTAGAAATGCCCATTCATTTTTCAGTGAGAAATATGTTCATAATGAGCTGTCTAATCCTCTTTTTTTTTTAAAAAAAAGTTCAGTCTCTCTAGAATTCACCTGGGTAAATTAAGTGGACGAAACATCGTCCAACGATGCTCGGTATGGTAATTAAGCTGAACTCCCATCGCTCTTTGTTCACCGCATCACAGGACTCTCTGTACTGCTGGCTTAGCAACTTTTTCCAGACTAATAAATCTTTAAAAGTCTCACCCCTGTCATTATTGTCAGAGGATGTGTTGATTAAATAGTTTGTGGCCAGCTGGTGAGACCTCCATGAATCAATTTATAAACATGACAGTGTATATAATGTGGGAGGGTTATTTTTTATGGTTTTCAACCCAGCTTGTAAATGTGGGCTGGTTTGGATATATCATGGCACGCTACGGTTTAACATTAGGAGAGTGCGATGCAGCAAAGCTCATTTGCTTGTGTTCTCCAGTTTGCTGCATTCTCCAGATCTGAACAAACAAGGTTTCTGATCATGTAGAGAGCCTTCCTCTTTTCAAATCAGGTCTGGATATGGTCAGGAGATCGTCTGGGTGACTTGCGTCTGCAGGGGACTGCCACCCTCAATCACTTTTATTGCACCAATGGAACATATGGAATCAGCTTCTTTTCTCACTCCTAGGAACAACTAGAGGTGTACAAAATGTTCTGGGGTTGAGCTATTTCAATCTCAAAATGGAACACATTCAGCACAGTGGAAGCAGTCCAAGTGCAAAACAGGCTGTATCACTCCTGTGAAGAGATGCTCCAGGATCAGAATGTTTTGACTATAAAATAATTTATACACACTTCTAGGAGAATCTCACAAGAAAGCTCTACTGTACAAACTTCCTTCGTGCAAATGTGATGTCTAAAAAGCCCTCACTGTTCTGCTCTTAAAACATTCTCTTTCCACTTAATAGAGTGCATTTAACATAGCTTCCTACTGCACTATCAACAAAAATTAATGCCTGAGAATTTTCTTCAACTCTAACTGCAAAACCAGCAGGAGATACTGCATATTCTTCTGCTTCTTATAAAGCTGCAGATGGCTTTAATTTCTTCTGATTTTATTACAAAATTTAGGTTTACTATCACTGATGTCATAGATTTATAGTTGGTTAGCCAGTTAGCTTTTTAAATGTTATTTTGAGGATAGCATCAATTGTCAATTTTTAATAAGGCAACTGCAAACATCTGTCTATTTTTACTGCATACTTTGATCATTCAACAAAAAAAGTTAGCATTATCAATAGGACATATGAGTTATTTCAGATCCTGGAGTTTGTCCCCTGAATATTAGTAATTTGTACTGTGCCTCTCAGATTTTATTAACTCAAAGTTATTTTAAAAGTAACTTGTATTCTACCTAATCTCTACATGAATACCTGACACCTGGAATTCTAATTAAAATGACTGCAGCTATTAAATATTTAACTGTAGGATGGCTCCTCTCTTTGATTCCAATACAGTAATGAAGAAGTTCAAAGCCTGCTTAGCAATTCATGTGACTGAAAGCTCTACATCTGGATTGAAAAGTTAGACGTTAAAAATTTGCAAGCAATTTGTCTCATTATGCAAACTTTTTTTTAAAGGAGAGTTTAAAGATATTTTTAAAAAACCCTTCAATAAGCATTTTGTTTGACAGATTTTTTTCTGCTTTCGAGGAATAACCACCATTCATAGCTATGGGAGAAAGAAAAAGGAAGTTGGTTATAAGCCAGTATATGGTTTGGGCATTTTCGTATCAAGTTGGACTTACATATAGTTAAAGACTCTTCAGAAAGAAACATTCAAAACTGGCAGGTCTTACTCACAAGAGTTACGCTTTCTCCTTTAGTTGCTGTAGTTTTGGAAGTTTCAAGTTTTGCTTCTGAAGCTGTTTTTGGTTGCCCAGATACTAAATAATCTGGTGGAGGAAGGATGGGATTTTCTCTGTCCGTTAGGTTTACTGAGCTGACGCTTCGGACAGGTGCAGGGCTAAAGAAAAGAAAACCACTGTTAATGCCCTACAAGAAACAACAGATTCTTCCTATACAATTCCCTTTTTTGCTCCTGATGGTTTTTGTGCCATTCCCTCTTGTTCGAACTTTCAGAAACTGTATTTCTTCAAGAAAATGGGTAAAAACTCTGCCTTTTCATCTGAAAGTATGAAGATAAGGAAGAAGAGTCCACAGTCAAGACCAAGGCACAGTCAAGACCAAGATGCTGAGGGTCCTTTTCTAACTAAGCAAGAAAAGGACAATTGTTATTTAGCTATTTTTAATACAACTTCCAAGGCCCCTCTTCCCATTTGGACCTTGAAATCTCTATCTGGCTGGAATACCCAAGTTGCCTTGAGTCTCCCAAAAGGCCTCCAAGGGACTCGTTCTCAGACATTCCCTCTGTCCTGAGCCTGCTTAAGTTCTGGAGCTCCTGTCTGGATGACCATCCCTTCATCTTTCCATTATTTGAGCCCTGTATCATTCGTCTGTCTTGAGGAAGCATACACGGAAAAAAAGATAATATTCGTCCTCTCTTTCTCCTCCAGCTGTGTTTCAACTTGGACCGTGAATCCCCTTCCTGCCCTCCTCCATGAACCGAAGATGACCATGAGATGGCTTCCACAACATGGTAACTTTATAAACATAACCCATGTTTCAAGTTAGGTTGTTCACAGATCTTCTTTTGCAATTTGCTTTGCAAGCCCAGTTCTTAAGAACTTTTATACCAGTGCAACATTACCTTGGCGCTGGAATACGCATTGCCTCTTCTGATGGACCTTCAAAGGGCTTTGTGTAAGAGGATGGGAACCAGCCTTTCCTAGAAGAGAATATTGTAATAAATTACTACTTTGTAGAAACCCTCAAGGGCTACTTCTTCAGACAGGTTGTAGGCAATAAGAATAGACATTTGTATCACAATTGACTACTAGTCATTACAGAATAACTATACTCTAGAGCAATGTTTCTCAATCTTGGCATCCTTAAGATGTGTGGACTTCAACTCCTAGAATTCTGTAGCCAGGGAATTTATACACTACTAAAACTCGCATTGCGTTTATTGGTTTGCCTGTTTGTTAGCCCAAACAGTGCATTATATCACAACCATTTTTGAATCAAGGTACCTAAAATCCACTAACTGAAAGAATGGAGAAAGCAGATTGCACTAACTTCCTCTCAAAGGATGACCCAAAGGGTCACAGGGTTGTCTAGTCAGGGTTTAAAGCACTTACACTTTGGTTAAATCATGTTCTCCATACAGCCATCCATCCCTTTCCTCAGATATGAGCAGCGTGATAATATCGCCCTGGGCAAAACTAAGTAGAGTCTCGTTACTTCCAGCCGTGTGGGGAAAGATGGTCTTAACCTTCTGCCGTTTTATTATATTCAGTCCGGTGGCCACAGAGGTAGATCGCAATAAACTGGAATCATCTGCATGATCTCACAAAAAAGGAAACCAGACAGAAAGATGCAGGGAAGAGTAATGAGTTACTAGTGGAATTTCACAGCAGAGAGCATCAAGCTAACAATGGGCTCCTCCAAGCCTAGCTGTCACAAATCATGGCCAAGAAGGTCAACCTAGTTTGGGTCTGGGTTCTGGCTCCTTCAGATCGGGCTCAGCCTGATTAATTGCTTGTCAATACAATCCATGCTCTGACTAGCTGAAGCTTCTAGCTGAACTTTCACTTCTTCCCAAAATCGAATTCTCTCTCTCTTCCTCTCTCTGTAATGTAATACATACACTTAACTATTTGGGATGAAAGGTCATTCAATCATGGAAGTCCCTCCAAGCAGTCTTGATATAAATTTACCAGCTTGCTTGCAATTAAGAAGTAGTCCTAAATTAACAGGTCATCAACCACTGTCCTCAAATGGAACATGGAGCTGGTATTCATTATTTCAGAAGCCCCTTCTCACCCACCTTCCCCAGCCCAGATCTACCTAATACCTTACAACAGTGACAGAATCAGATGTCTTTCAGTTGAATATCCCTCCCACAAACTCAGTTCATATTCTAAACCAAGTGATCGTTTATTAAATCACTTTTTTGACCAATCACACCAGTGATGCTGTGGAATGAACCTCCTCTTCTGTTGTGATTCTGAGATTCCAAAGTCCTTAATCAAGGTAGGCTATGATGCAACCTCAGGGCACCTACAGAACTGTCACTGTATTCACTGAGCCTTATTTCCAAGTAAATGTGCAGTCTAAGATCCAACTCTCTTCCTCACTGGGTCAACTGTACCACATACACAGAATTACCACCCTGATATACTGACATGTGCTAAACTTACCTATTGAATTGTTTAATTTCTCTGAAGATGACTTTGGTGCCGCTGTTGGATTGTTGAACATATCAACTAAAGGACTGGTATAAGCTCTCCCTATGGGTGCTGGGGGCACCTTAGGAGAATGCCTTTGAAGTGAATCATAATTATTCCCAACCTGCAGACAGAAAATTACCATTAAAGTGTCAATATTCATGAAACGCTAAGGTGCGCCAAGGTATTATAAGATATTAACAATGTTATTGACTTATCCCAACTGAATTACTTCCTTTAAAAAGATCTTTTCTCCTTGAATAGGTCACTCAGTGGTTTCCCAACTTGATTATATCCCATAATACACAGAAGCTCAGCACAGGAATGAATGCAAACTAGATTTTATTTGTATGGTAAAACTGGACGCTCTAGTGCAATTTAACACATTCATAAAATCAGGCGAGTTGCCGCGTGAAATTTAACTGAATGATTCGAAGGCAGCATGCCCCTGAAAATTAGCAAGAGGAGGAGAGAACTACTGTGTCCATGTCCTGTTTGTGGCTCTCCCAGACCTCTCTGAGTGTGCACATGATGAATGGATTACTGGATTGTCCCAAAGCCTTTAGAACAGAAGAGGCTGTTCTGACTATTACTGACAGATTGCAGGAATGATGGGACAATAGAACAGGTAAAGGCTTTTGAATTTTCTTAACCTGGTTTATTTTTATTTCATCTTATTGTTTTATCTGCCCTAAGAGCAAGATCAATAAATAATGCATAAAATAGTTTCACCAATCTTGCTACAGGCACTGTAATGCAAGATTGCTTCAATTGCTTTCTTCAATTTCCTTCTCCCCTTCAAATGAGCCCCACTTTTATTTGGCTTTTGGACAAATTTCTGTTTCTCTTTGCTTTTAAGAGCGAGAACAAGCAAAACGATGATAAAGGTATCTTAATAATGAAATAAAAGGGGAATTTTTGCAAATGGGCTTTGTTGAACAAAAGGGAGAAGTTGCATCTAGTGATTTTTCTCTCTTTTCCTACAATGGCAAGGAATCTTGCCATTTTTTTTTCTCATGTGGTCATTCTCTCCCCATTTTTGTCTCTTTTTGCTACAGAAATTATTTTTAAAAGTGGGTAGCATTGGAACCATGGAAAGACCAGCCGTGTGACTCCTAGTGGGTTCTGATTATTCAAAGAACAGAGCAGTGTTGCTGCTTTCCCTACAGGTAGTCCTCACTTAACAACCACAATAGGGACCGGAAAATTTGTTGTTAAGCAGGGCGGTCATTAAAAGAGGCATCAAGTGACTGCACCCAATTTTATGACAGTTTTTGCAGTGGTCATTAAGTGAATCATGCAGTTCCCCATTGATTTTGCTTGCTGGGAGCCAGCAGGAAAGGTCACAAATGGCATGACCCCAGGATGCTACAACCATCCTAAGTGCAAGCTGGTTACCAAGAGCCCAGATCATGATCACGTGACCACTGCGATGGTCGTAAGTGCGAAGACTGGTTATTAGTCACTTTTTTCAGTGCCATTGTAACTTCGGGTCATTAAATGAATGGTTGTTAAGCAAGGACTACCTATATTTGCTTGAACACACACAGCTATTTTATGGTATCTCAACAACATACATAAAATCAGGTGGTGCTTGAGTTGCACCCTTGGGGCCACCATCCTGATATTTCTGACCATATCCCGAGGACCTACACTTGTCTCCCTTTCCTACTCTGCTCCTAAAAGGAAACGTTGTAACTGGAAGAGAAGATCTTACCAGGCTGTTTCTTTCTAACATTGGGGAAGGCAAGGGAGTCCCTGATATCCAAGATGATCCTGGCGTCTTGATCTCTTCTATCATATTCATGACTTTCTCTGGAACTCTGGTAGCATCGCTGCATGTTTCCAGCCACCCTGGTAACTTGCAGTTAAGTATCTCTGAGCACTACAAACAACATGATGAAAAAATAAAGTTACTTCTCCAAGTAAATCTAGGAATTGACTACAATAGATGACTATCCAACTTTTGTTTCAAAACCTCCAGTAAAGGGGAAGAAACCACTCCATCCACTGATGGACAACTCTTACTGTCAAGACATTCTTCCTAATCTCTAATCTGTATCTACATCCTTGAAGTTCATCCCATTCATTCTTGTCTTACCCTCAGGAGTGACTGAGAATAAGTCCAAACCCTCTACAATGTGACAGCTCTTCAGATATTTGAAGACTATATCATGTCCCCTCTCAACCTTCTCTTCTGCAAGCTAACCATCTCTTGGTCTTTTCACTGCTCCTTGTAGGATGTGGTTTCCAGTCCATTAACAATCTTGGTAGCCTTTCTCTAGACTAACTCCAGTTTATCAAAGTCCTTTTTAAAGTGTTTTTCCCCCTACCTTCTTTTAGGTCACTCCTCCATACTCACCTCCACATGGTAATGGGACAGACGTTGAGCAAAACTGCAATGTTTGTCCACCAGGAAGCAAAATCTTTTCTTCTCTTCTAGTAGAGCCTCTCTGCAACCCTCTGCAATAAACCTTTGGATATCATTCTGTCGGGAGCTTATGGTTTCCAAATACTAGATAAAACATTAAAAGACCAGATTCAAACAACCACAGTCCACTCATCACTTTCCAGAAAATACCACCTCAAGGTAGTGTGAATAAAATAACAACTATCCAATAATGAAAGTTTAATTAAAATATTACAATGTATTTATTAAAAATAGTAAGGAGAAGGGAAATAAAAACAAAACAGAATTCGTTCAATATTCGTACAGTATAAGAAAGGCCTGGTAAACAGGGCTTCTTGTACAACTTGAATTTAACAGCAGTTTCAATCTCTTACTTTTTCTCAAATAGAAGTATGCAGCCCAGTTGCCTATTGCCAATCTATATCAACATGTACAAATATCATTTATCTTTAAACCCATGTATTCCCTTGATAAGTCTGCTAACCTACACAATAGCCAATTAATTTTTCCACAAGAGAGATAATTCTGTTGACATGCAAAAAGCTATAAATATTCTTGGTGCATCAAGTCAAGAGACCAACTTTAGTCCAAGACGGATGTTTTTATCGTAAGGCAGTTTAGGCGACTCCAAGTAGAAGGAGACAGGTTTGGATCCAGATTATACATGAATGGAAGCCAATATCTCACTGGGCCTTTCTCATTCCCATTTTGGTTGACCCGAGTACAATGGGAGGAGGAATTGGTGAACATTATTGTAGGTCACTTACACAAATAAAGAGCAAAAAGCAATATAACTATGCTGTACATATCCAAGGATCAAAGCCATGTGCTTTGCTATACTGAAAATAGTCTCAATACCAACTGACAGCTGTTATTAAGACTGAAGAGGAACATTAATACCACCTGGTGGTAGAGGAAAAAACATTTATGCCAAGAAAGGGTATTTATATAAAGTATGGCATCTCTAACAATAAATTACAAAGGGTTGTACTCTTAAAAATTAAATTTTAATTTTAAAAAGATTATGAACTAAGCTTGGCCTAACTTTCAAAGTAATACAAAGAGGAAACTTGACTCAAGGTGAATGTACTAACCTCACTTTCTTTATGTTCATATTTCACTGTATTCCGTCCTCCTTGACTTTTCCTTCTGATTTTTTTCAGCTCAGCCTGAGACTTTTCCAAAGAATCTAATTTGCTTCGATGTTCGTTCTGATACCTCTTCAGAGTAGCCTGTAAGGAGAAAGTTCACAGGGGTCTGGTAGTAGATCATGAGGTTGGGAACCTTGTATCAGCACGTTCCTACTTAGGGGAGGACGCTGTCAATCAAATGCTAAAAAACAGGAGATTATTCTGACATTGTAGGGAATAACAACATTATAGTTCAACCTGTTGACCAGCTACCCTGAGAGGACTATGCATGTGAAAACAGGAAAAAAAGAAGCCAATAAGTTGTTATTCATAGAAAACTGGGGTTTCTCTAATAACTCTTTCTACCCTCATTTTATTTATTTATTGACATTTTATCTCACCTTTAGGAACACAGATTTTTAACCTTGCTCACTGCAAAAAGTAATACCTAGATTTGGATGCCTGGCTGACATTAAAGCAGCAAAACATTAAAACATTTGATAGAAGAAACCTGAGAATTAATCCACAGTTTCTTCCAAGTCAGAACTGCGTTATTCACAATAACCTAAACTCCTCAGGCTTTACGGAGGCTGAGAAAGGTTGGGGTCATCTCAGAGACAACTGATTTATGACAGCCACCAAGAATCTGGGATGAATCCAACACCTCATCCTTTGTAGGACTGTAATGCTGGACAATGAGAGGGACACATTCAGAGATGATTCCTTCACTCATGACTGAAGTTTAATGGCTAGATGTATATTCTACATGCAGAAATCACCTGGCATACTTCTGGTCAGGCCATCCCAAGAACATTTTAGTAAATTCCTACTTTTCCTCTTGGGAAGTTACCTAACCGCTATAGAAATAGATCTGCATTGTGCAAACCACCTTTGTCTCTCTTCCCATGTTGTGTCAGATAAAATATTCCTAGAAATTCCAGTTCCTTTATTTGTTAAATCTGTTTTATATCCCAAAGCTACCAATAATTTCTGCTTGGTCCCTTCATCTATGCAAGAGGAAAACTGAGCTCATTTTGCTGTTTGGCCTTGTTGGGGAGCAGCAAATTATGGTAAGACTCCTTGTAACAAGGGGTAGTCTTATTCCCAGACTGCTGGCCCTATTGAAGCAGGAACCTCTAGAAACACAACCAATACCTTCTTTTTAAAAGATGCAAGAGTCTGAAAACCCACCGGAATATTCTGCAGAGTCCTTACAAGTGTGGGTGTTGGCATTATGTAAAGTTTCCTTCCAGTTAAACTAAGTCCCAGCAATTTCTCAGACATACCTAAGTTTCCTTAGTGGTGATTTGAGACTGCTTTCTTCTTAGATGCTTTCTGATTTCCTGATTTAGCCTAATGGCAGGTATCCAAGTAGTAACCAGCTTTGACCTGGTTTAGCATTTCCAAGTTCAACCAAGATTGGCTAAGTGCTGCCACCTACTGAAATACTTCATTGAGTAGTCTGTCTCCAGCAGCCTATCCTACTTGGCAGCGAGCATTCTTGAAATGTAAGCTTAGAGCAGTCTACTCAGAAGTAAGAGCAATGGAGTTAACTAAACAAATGTTTCTAGGACTGTATCTAGGCCTTAGAGATCCAGCTTAATTAACCAGAGTCTTTAATTTTGTAAAAATCAAGAATGTGTTAAACCAAACTCAACGCTCACTGTTCTAAACACACACACAGATGCAAATCTAAACACGCTGACCATACTATAACTCCAATTTTGGTGATCTTTCAGGATATTTACCAATATCAAAAGGCCCAACAGGCACGTTCTTACATTTGCGTACATCTCCGGCACCGAAAAAATAATACACTTACATTCATATATTTTACATCTAGTTCTGTTTTCTTCTCCAGCTCAGATATAATTTCTTTATGGAATTTCTTGAACTGTAGTCATAAAAAGCCAACAGAAGGGTGAGAAGGTTAGTATCCTCATATGAAAATATTTGTACAATATTTTAAAACACTGCCGAAAGATTTACTTACGTTTTCTTCTAGGCTGTCATTGAGTTTCTTTTGGGCAATAGAAATTTCTATGAGAACGTGCCCTGTTGACAAACAAGATTAAACTTTATTTCTGGTTCCTTTGGCCGTTCAAAAGGAAGAAAGAGCAGTACATGTCAAATATCTTGACTTTTTTTTTAACTCCTTGCCAAGAATAGCAAAAGAAGCTCTGTAGAAACCTGGCCTTGGTTATGAGGAACGGCTCTTTGACAACAATATATTGTTACAGAGACAATAGTCTTTTATATACATTTAAAATATAGACTTAAACTTCCAAGTTTAAAATGTCCCTATGTATCCAGCAACCTTTTTCATGCATTTGGCCTCTTCCCATTTGTGCCAAACTGGGGCACCAACCCATCCTAGCAACATTTTCCCCCAATGAAGTTGCCTTCAACTCATTCCCCACCCATGAATCAGAGACGGTTCAGCTGCCCTTAGCTGTACCAGTATTAAAGTTGTACTTTCCTCCTTATTTGAATACCCTCCAAGGCCAACTCAGTGAGAAAGCATGTGCTTGGCATGCTGAAGCCCCTGGCATTGATCCCTGAAGGTTGTGGGAAAGGGCTGGTGCTGCCTAACCTGTTGGAAAGTTGTGGCCACTCAGTGTAGACCATCCCAAGCTAAGGAGGCAATCATCTGATTTACTAATATAAAGGAATTTTCTTCTCAATAAATCTCACTGTCTGTTGGTAGTATTTCAAATGACAGTCTGCTAGAGTTTCAGTACATTAGTATTTTAAATGACACCATGACCTACCAAAAAACCAACACTGAAGTCAACATAATTGCATGGACGCAGCCTTTTTTCCCCCCTGGAGAAGTCAATGAAAGATCTAACAAGAATGATTTTCTTCTTCAGCTTATAGCAGTTCAAGAATGGGGTGGGGGGTGAAGTTACGGAATTCTCTTTCTCTTGTCCTTCCGTGTTAACTGTTGGGAGATCTAACTTACACCTATATTTTTTCTCAGCAATATTATAAATACATGATCTATACCAGTGTTTCTCAGCCTTGGCAACTTCAAGATGAGTGGACTTCAACTCCTAGAATTCCCCAGCCAACTCCCACTTCTGGGAGTTGAAGTCCACTCATCGTAAAGTTGCTAAGGTTGAGAAACACCGGTCTATACCGTAGCTCTTCTATCTCTAAAATAGGACTAGTTCTATCACCTAACTTCCAAATGAAAATAGGAATGTAACTAGGTGTGGCCCAGCTTACAGTTATGCATGGGCAAGTCCCACCTATTTAATGGGATTTACGCATCAGTAACTATGGGAAGGATCGGAGGTGAGGTCATAGCATTTGTTCAGCTTCAGCATGCCTATCTGATGATAGAATGAAGCAATAAGGAAAACCTAATTTGCAATGTAGAATGGGCAGCTTAATTGAAACTACACTTGAATGAAGAGTAAAGTTCGTGTAGAGTAAAGCGTGTGGGTTTTAAGAGCTTTTTATTTTCCCCCAGTTATGGTCACACAGTAAATGCTTTGGGGAATGTGCTGTTACAGCAACGCGCTTGCCCAACGGCTGGCCTGTTTGCAAAGATTAACATGTCAGGATCTGGAACTTAATGTTCTGGTTGTTTTAAAAGGGCTTTGCTCTCTCCACCCCGGCACACTCCCTCTATCTTTTCCTGATACATATACATTTAGGAAAACAATTCATTTACCTGGCAGATCAAGATTGGAAAAACTGACTGTTATATAGTGTTATTCTGGTCTCGGTAACATACAGGCTGACTACAGCTTTCAGAATGATAATGTATGACTAGTTTTCCTGAAAACTATTTTTATTTTTAGTCCTTCAATTTGAAGGACTAAAACAACTTGGAAATGGAAATAAAAAATTTAAGGGGATACACACAGACACACACAGAAGTCTGTATTTCCCCTTCTTCTTGTGCAGTGTCTAAGTGTCTCCTTCACCAGGAAGATGTTTGCATTAGCTCACCTATTACCTCTTAGTAATATTTTGACCACAAACCATAGCAATCTCTCTGTACCTGGCAGGATTCAGAAAGTAGGACAAACTGATAAATAAATGCCAAATGTTTCCACAGCACAAAGATTTGGGGAAGCCGTATCATTAAAGCTGAAGCCAGATTTCCTGGAGTGGAAGACAAGCGTTGTGTTTTGTGTTAGCTCAGTCTGTAGCACACGCCCCCAAACCTTCTTTCGTAAATACTGCGATAGTATGGACTGAGCTTTTCAGCTCTTAAGGCTTTGGAGGACCACCAACACAAGTAGTTCAGCCCTGACCGGACACCTTCTCACAACATGGTGTGATGCCAGGTCCCAGAATCCCCTCTCTGCAATTCTGGCCATGATTGTCTTAAACCAGTGTTTCTCAACCTTGGCAGCTTGAAGATGTGTGGACTTCAACTCACAGAATTCCCCAGCCAGCAAAGTGAATTGA